TTCTTTATTAAAATTTTACTTAAGACATTCCGCAAATAAATATTTTACCGGATAGTGTCGGATTCTTACCGACTAAAAAACCCAACTTCACTAGCATTACTTCATTACAGTGGCGTTCTTAGACACTATGTCTCACGTTCAGAAATGTTTGTCATTATGATATATTTCATAAATCCCACTGCATTCTGCCACTCTTGTTCACTGCCTACCAGACACATTACCAGTTCTGCCACACAAAATTGATTTCCTTTCCTATTATAGAACATTTAATGTAACCATCCGAACAAACTATTATATATTCAACCGCTGAGAAAATAAGTACAAAAAATTTCATTGCCTCCTTGACTAGTAGAAAGGAGGAGTAGGATCTACCCCCCAGTTATTTTTGTTAATAAAAATAATATAAATCACTTCGGAATAAAAGGAAGGACTATAAGTGTCTATTTCCAATTTATACTATACTTTGAATGAATATGTAACAAAATAAAGTTGAAATTTTAAGTCGTTTTAAATTCCAAATTAATAGAATTATTTATTTTACTGTCCTGTCTTCATCCTCCTCTGCATTTCCATGTTTATGGGGCAATTTATTTTGCAAGATCCCTGCTGAAAAGGGATTTTTGTTGGAAACCTTTTGTAATATGATTCTAACTTGTTTGCATGCATAGAAGAGAAAATAACAATTTAAATAAAGCTACATGGATGGACGTCATCCTAAGAAATTATTTATGTAATAATATTATCCCTTACTTTTAGTGCTAGAGAAGCTAGTATAGATATATCTGAAGTACAAAATATCAGTATAAACCTTTCTAAATATATTTTTTCGAAACTATAAATGTAGTTGTAAGAGTTTTTTAGTTTTTTAATTTTTCTTAATTGTTTTTTTTTGTTTTCAGTTTCTTTCCTTGAAGGAAGACAAAATTCAACATATCCTGACATATCGTCATGTTAATTCCTTGGTTTCTTAGCCTTTTCATAGGCGTAGTATGGGGTAAGTAATAACATATTTTAAATTAAAGTTTTTATTTTTGTTGTATAAGTTTTTATCGTCTGGTACTTTTGTTGTATATGGAAGTCTAACATATTATCATTAAATAGCACTAGAATGTAGAATGTTTTGAAAGGGGGATGGTTAATCACCCCGACCTTACATATCTATTGTGTATTCCCCTATTTTGAGGTATAACGAGTTATAACTCATCATACAGTCTCAGCGCTTTGACAAAAGCCAGTATCTGCGACGACTCTACAGAGGAATCAGCTGTACCAAATTTATGACATGAACGGTTGTTGTCTCGGCGCACTCAGTGATAAGGTGTTTCCCCATTTTCCCTACAGAATCTGCATTCGCTCTTGTTTCTTAGATCAATCTATTGAGGTGTTCGTTGAGGAGACAGATAGTCCTGTTAGAAACACACATAAAGTAAATGTTTAACATAATTTATTTTGTTATGATTGACCACTGCTTAAAAAGTTAATAAAATAATTGATACTTGATAGCCAACAGCAGTAATGAAGGTCATCCTAGAGCTAACACCACTGCACATTGCCGTAGGTAGTTATGCCAGTACAACAATGCTTAGAATGGTCATTGACGAAACAATACTGGGAAAAAAATTTCAGGTCAGGGGCTTGGAACACCCTCAAAAAGGAAATCCCACTTCTCCAACTCCCAGTATATGATGTACCAAGAATGTATAACTTTGAGAAACACCTCACTGTAGTATTGAGGAATAAAAGGGATTGGAAGGAATAAACGTTTGCTTAGCATGTAAAAGACCATACCATAACGTGATATACTGATGCTTCCAAAACCAAAGCAGCGACAGGGATAGGAGTATTTCGGTCGAAAACTAAATACTCCGAATGAATGGGCTGAGAAACAACGGCGAATGCAGATTCTGTGGGGAAAATGGGGAAACACCAGAACACCTTATCACTGAGTGCACCGAGATGACGACCGTTCGTGCCATGAACTTTGGTACGGCTGTTGTCGAAGATGGAGAGATGGCCTCTGTAGAACCGTCTCAGATACTGGCTTTTGTTAAAACCCTGAGACTGTATGATGAGATATAGCTCGTTATAACTCAAGAAAGGAGAACACAATAGATCTGTAATGTCGCGGTGATTAACTCGCCTCCTAAATATTCTACATTCTACTTGATAGCCCCGAAAATTTGGCTATGCAACACCCTATATTTTACTATTATTGAAATAGATAAAAAATAACAGGTTAGTCGTGATTGACTAAGTTAAGAAAATCAAAATTTAAGCGAGGATGCAGTCAATAATCACCACACAGGCTAATAAAGCTACTTTTTCAAATTTTTCAGCTTTCGAGAATTTTATTCCCATCATCAGGACAGTTTGACTGAGTCAATTAGCAAAAAAACATCCTCTGCACAAAAAGGCCTTAAATCTAGTCTAGAGTCACTGTTTAATCGAGCTCGAAACAACAATGTAGAAATTAGTTTAGTAATTTTTTTTTTGTTTTTTGTTTAAAGGAAAGCAATGTCGTTGGATATGTATTTTAATATTTTATAAAGGAAATGTCCTTGTATTCCAATGTCATATTATGCTAGTTTTAAGGCCTTTTTGTGCAGAGGATGTTTTTTTTTGCTAATTGACTCAGTCAAACTGTCCTGATGATGGGAATAAAATTCTCGAAAGCTCGATAAATTTGAAAAAGTAGTTTTATTTTTAATTATTTAAAAGTAGTTTTTTTAGCCTGTATAGTGATTATTGACTGCATCTCCACTTAAATTTTGGGAAATAGATAAATATATCTCACACCAAAAAATACAATTCTTCAAAAATGCCCTTAACATCGAGGAGATTTCCATATTATTAAATTACACCCTTTTACCTGATGTTTTTCGCTTTCTACACTTCCCAAAGCGGGTTCCAATTCCTCTTCTTTTTTCGTCTTCTTCGTTTTATCCCTTTTTCGTACATAACTGGGCGAAATCGAGCTTTTCCGTCTTGACGAGCGATTTTTATCGACAACAAATATTTGCCAATCAATCTGCAGAGCAAATAAAAGCCGGGAGAGAAAGTCGACTTTCGGATCGGTAAGAAACGTTGAAGGGCGAAGAAAAAACGGAAATAAATAAAATTTATGGAAAGGTTTTTAGGATTGACGGGCAACCTTTTAATAAGATGACCCTTAATGGCTTGATCTGTGACGTATCCTTGGTTGTTCAGGTTTCTTTAATCCATTAACTTTGATTTTTTTCTTTTTGTATTAAATGGAACGTTTTCTAATCGGTAGAGGTTGTCAAGCAATGTTTTTCTCAAAAAACAGTGCGGTCTTTAGGCTTTTTTTGTTTGTCCATTTTCTGTGTTTTCTGTTTTCATGTTAGCATCATTATGCTGATGATATTAAGTTTATATGTATTTTATTGTATATTCGATAACTTTTTTTACTATTTTTTTGGAATGAAACTATTTCATGATACCTTAAGAGTCTATTAAGCTGTACTGTTCGGGTCGCTCTCAGGGTTAGACGGGTGTCTAGCCGAAGGAAATATATATTATACTAGCGTGTACCAGCGACTTCGTTCGCGTCGAATTAATCATTTGTAATGGTGATGATAAAGCAAAGCAAGAATTTCCATGAACATACAAACTGGATAAGATTTTCCCACATTTATGTCAGCATGAGAAAAAACAATATGGCGATATTATTATATATAACTTGGTAATTGAGGGGTAGTTTCATCTCGTTGGAATTTGACTTTCGAAAAATCCGTTTACCAAAAACAAGCTTTTTACGTCAAGCAGTTTAAGCAGAATCGTGGTAAGAAATTACCCAACTTTTTTCGAACACCTGTATGATTTTTTTAAAAAATTCAAAATATGTAAAAAACAAATAAATTATGCTTGTCCAAGCGTTTTCCCGAAAGACTAACCGTTTTTTAAATAACAAATATTGTAATATTTGAGGGGCGTTTTCACCCTCTTGGAATTTGAGATTCGAGAAATCCCTCCTTCTCCAACCTCTATACCCCACAGTCAATGCGTTAGCCAAAAATCAGCTTTAAACGTCAAGCAGTTTAAGCAGAATCGTGATTACTCAGTGGTCATATTTTATGAAACACCCTGTATAAATTTATAAAAAATCTTAAAATATGTAAAACAAAAAAATCAAATATACGTGTTTAAAAGTTTTCCGCAAAAACTCACCGGTTTTTAAATAAAAAATATTTTAATATTTGAGGGATAGTTTCACCCCCTTAGAATTCGAGTTTCGAAAAATCCCTTCTTACCGAACCTCTACACCCTAAAGTCAATTCATTTTCCAAAAATCAGCTTTTTACGTCAAAAGCGCTTTAAGCAGGATCGTGATTAATCAATAATCATCGTGTATACATTTTTAAAAAATCTTAAAATATGTAAATAAACAAAATAAAATATACGTGTTTAAGCGTTTTTTCGGAAACTTGACCGTTTTTAAATAAAAAATATTGTAATATTTGAGGGGTGGTTTCACCCTCTTGGAACTGGAATTTCAGAAAATTCCTTCTTATCGAACCTCTACACCCTAAAGTCAATCTGTTTTCCAAAAATCAGCTTTTACGTCAAGCGCTTTAAGCAGGATCGTGATTAATATAACCATCGTGTATACATTTTTTAAAAATCTTAAAATATTGTCAAGAAAAATGGCCTATCCGCCAGAAATTAAAATGTATTACTGGTTGCCTGCACAACCGCAACGTATCCGCCAGAAATTAAAAAGACTTTTTCAGGCGCCATCTTTTAGTCAAAGTCGAGAAGTAAGGAATCAGACAATAGAATTGTCTGGTATGAAGAAGTACGCTTTCAGAGAATTGGGGAAATTTCGAGAAACAGTCAATAGAGTATATAAGCGGAGCCATCGACAACTGAGAGAGTTTTTGAAATTTGAATATACCGCGTGGAAATTGAAAATCGGACAATTTGGTGAAGGAATGGTTAGTTGTTGTGTGTTATAAGTTAGTAATTGTGTATAAAGTGAGAAAATAAATTCGTTAAATATTTTATCGTGAGTTTAAATAGTGGACCCACGGAATCCGTAACAATTGGTGTCGGAAGTGCGATTCAAGAGGATTTTAAGAAGAAATTAAGGTGGATTGGAAGATTTTTAGACCCAATTAGAGTATTTTTATGGTTGGTACAAGAGAACAAGCGAAGAAAATGGAGGAAGTAAGCAAGTTATTGGGCGATTTTATGGAGAATATGAGAAGAGAGAAGGCAGAAGAACAAGAAAGACTCCGTAAAGAACGAGAGGAAGAGCGAGCCCGATTAGAAAGAGAAAAGGAAGAGGAAAAACTACGACGTCAAGAAGAAGAACAGGACCGGCGAAAAAATTTTCCAAGATTTGAAAATTCAACGACAACAAGACAAAGAAGAAGAACAGGACCGGCTTGAGAAAATTTTAAGCAATTTAGAAATTCGTCAGAAGAATGAATGGAGGGAAATTTTAGAAGATATAGAAACGCGCCGCCAGAAAGAAAGACAAGAAGATCAGGACCGTCTTAAGAAAACTTTAGAAAATCAAGAAATTCGGCTTCAGAAAAGCTTGGGGGAACAGCAACAAGCAATGTTGGAAGTACGTTGCCAGGAACAGCAGAACCACTTCCAAGAAGCCGTAGAAGATCTGGAGGAGCGCCTTCAGCAGAAGATAGAAAGGTTGGAGATGGACCTACAGAAGACCAAGGTACAAGTAAAGACACCTGGCGTTCAAGAACAGCGAACCTTAAGGCCCGACCTACGATGGACAAACGACATGGACAATGTACCACCGTCAGTTTGAAGCAGCCGCCGCTGCCAACGGATGGACCGACCAGGAGAAAGCAGCGGCACTTGTCATCGCGCTGCGTGGCTGCTGCTCTGGAACTGTTGCAAACTATTCCTGCAGCCCAACAGCAGGAATACCAAACTTGGTCGCTGCACTGGACAGAAGATATGGCGACCAACATCGACGCCAACTTTACCAGGCCCAGATCAAGA